AAAGTTGGAAAACAATAGTCTATATATTGAAAATGGAGCAGAGATGGGGGTAGACATGATTGGCTTTACATATGTTGCATATTTTTCCAGTTTCTTTATGCATATACAATCAACAGAAGATATATCCCTTCCTTTTCATATGGAGTATCACTGCTCTCTTCGTTTTTTCCCCTTAAGAATATATACATACAGAATTTGCTCCTAAGTAACTTAGGATGCAGGGGCATTGGGTGGGAATGTAGATGATCAGTGGGGAGGTAATACTGGGTTGGGATTTTGACAAACATGGCTGGCCAAGAACTCTCGCCAAAGAGAGCTGGTTTCACTGCACCACTGAAACAAAGCCGCTCATTTGAACATGATCAATAATCACACTTGGTAGGATACAATGGTAAGCTTTCAGGTTTCTTCTTGTGTGACCAAGTAGTAGCATTTGACATAGGTGGTCACCGCCCTCCTTGAAAACTCTCACTTGGCTTTCAAGATGCCTCCGGCCCTGCTTTCCTCTTAGCTAGTGCCCATGCCTTTGCAGTTCCTTTTGTCCATTCCTAGTCACCTTTCTGCCCCCCCCACCCCCCCAACTAGGTGTTTCGGATTCCTCTCATCTTTACTTGCATTCACTTCCTTGGTGATCTCATCAGGTCTCTTTGCTTAGCTGCCATCAATATGCTGACAATGCCAAATTTTTTTCCCCAGGCTGGACCTCTCCCCTCTCTGCAATAATGGCAGTGCCTGCCTGACCTCTTCCCTTGAATGACTAACAGGCACTTCACACACAACAATCTCCCTTTGTTCCCCAACAAGGTTGATTTTGCCAGTGTCTTCCTGAGCTATCCTTCTTGTTGCTCAGGCCAAAGTATTTGTGTCCTCCATCTCCTATCCATCAACTTTTCCAGCCTACCATAAAAATACTTTCAGAAACTGACCACCTCTCACCACTCTCACTACTATCACACTTGTTAAATTACTGGAACCTTATCCTGGATTACTGGAACTATAGCCTGTCCCTGATCCTGCCCTTGCTTATATCAACCCAGTAGACAAAGCATGCTTTTAAACCCAAGTCAGATCATTGGCATTGCTCAACTCCTCCAGGACCTTTCAATCTCATTCAGAGCAAAAACCAAAGTCCTTAAAATGGCTCACAGATCTCTACACAATTTCCCCTACCTGCTATTGCTCTGACCTACTCTACTTCTCTTCCTAGTCACTCTGCTCCAGCCACACTGACCTCCTTGTCATTCTTCAAACAGGCTAGGCACATTCCCATCCCAGTGCCTAACATGTGCACATGTGCTCTTCCCTCTGGCTGGAATGCTCCTCCCAAACAAATCCATATAGCTTGTTTGCTCACCCACTTTAGGTCTTTGTTTAGATAGCACCTCTCAGTGGGATCTTCTTTGCTATTTAGAGAGACTGCAATCCCTTCCTCTGCCCCCGGACTCTCTTTTTCACATCCCTGGCTTTTCTCCATAACAGATACACCTACTGATACGATATGTCTATTGCTTATTTTTGTTGCCTGTCTCTCCTCATTAAAACATACACTTGGCAAAAGCAGGGATTGTTGTCTCTTTTGTTCACTGTTAATTCCCAGTGCCCAACAAATAGTTATTCATAAAAAATAAATAAATAAACAAAGTTATTAAGAAAAAGTTCCTTATTCTTATCTTACTCTTCTGTTTGATTCTTCATTTTTGTTACTGCATTTTCAATTTCGAAGAGTTGTTTTTATCTTAGAATATTCTTTTTTAAAAACAATATTTGTTGTTGTTCTTAGTTCACAATTGCAACATCTTATCTCTATGAAGATATTTGTTCATCCATTTGGTTTTTGCATAGTCTCCTGCAAGATGTTTTCATATGTTTGTGCATTTACTTCTTCTTCTAACTTTTATCTTACAGGCTTTTCTCAGATGTCTGGTAAGCTCTTGAAATTTTTTAAATTAACCTTCAGAGGCATACTTTAATTGTCTAGGTAATGGCTTTTGACAAGTACATAAATCCATGTAATGACCATACCAAACAAGATGCAGAATATTAACATCACCCAGAAAGCTCTTTTGTCTCTGTGCAGTCAGTCCCCACCCCACATATTCCAAACAACCATTTATCAGCTTTCTCTTATTACATAGGTTTTACTTATTCTATAAATCAAGTCATATAGTATGTAATCTTTTGTGTTCAGCTTTTTCGACCGAGGATAATGAGATGCATCCATGTTTTTGCATGTAACAATAGTTCTTTTCTGCTATGTATGCCACAATTTATTTACCAATTCACCTATTGATAAATACCTGGGTTTTTATTAGCTTAGCTTTATTAAGCTCTCCCATGTGAACATCTGAGTACTCCTCTCTGTGTGGCCCACAGCCAGGATTATGGTGAGGCAAGCCAGGATTATGGTGAGGCAATCCAGGAAGGCCAGCTCACCAAATTTAAGGAGGCACTCACTCTGATGTTCATATAAGGGCCAGTCTTGCACTTGCACAACCCTGTGAGTGAGTGCCTCCTTAAATTTACCAGCCCAGGTACCTCACTTGCCTCACCCTAGTCCAGGTGTGGACATATGTTTTGATTTTTCTTGGGTAAACACCTATAAGTAGATTTGCTGGATTATAGGATAGTTCTGTGTTTAACTTCACAAAAAACTGTCAGTTTTCCAAAATAGTTGCATCATTGTACACTTCCACCAACAATGGATGAGACTTCCAGTTGCTCCTCTCCCTCACTGACAAGTATAATTCCAGTCTTGTCTTCTCTGTTGCTGCAGATGGATCATTTCCAGCAAACATGGCTCATCGGTGTGATTCTTTCTGTCATCCTCATCTTCTTGGCTTCCCAGATCCAAACCAGATTCAGGACAGCTTTTATCTGCTAGTCTTGCCGTACTGTTTCCACACCCATTTCTGCAAACAAAAGGGATATAGCTGTGCATTTCTAAGGGAGCTCTTCACCTTCAGAACGAGAGTTTTCACTGGTGGTTTTCTGAGATCTGCCTCCACTGGGGCCCTTCATTTCTCTCTGAGTTTCTTTCCTGTTCTTCACAGCTTCTGTCTGACTGTGGCTGCTTACACATAATTTGCTATCTGTGGATTCTATTTATCTTCTGGCTTTGCTGAAAATAGAATTTGAAGTTTTTCCTTTTTGCTTTTGTATAGTTTTGGGGAGTAAAAGAGTCAAAATGTTTATTTAAACATCCATTTGAACTGGAAAACTCTGTATTTCCAAAAAACTGTGGAAGTGGAAATGGAAGTGGAGATTTGTGTATTTGGGCAAAGTTACTTGGGAACAATAAGGAGATGTTATTGTATGTTAATTTCTAATTAGGACTGCCTAATGATAAGGTTGATAGAGTCCTAACAGTATCTGAAAATGAAGCAACCTTTTTTCTAGGGTCTTTCAGTAAGGGTGCAGTAGTCAGGTATCAGAAAAGATCTTTATTTATAGTCAGTGCATCCCAGGATCAAATTGGGGAAGGTAAGTTCCCACTTGCACCAGAAATTCCGACAGGAAGCAGTGTGGTTCTCATAAGATCTGGCTTTCTTGGGCTAAGCATTAGAAGGAGCCATACAAACACTGAAATGCAAGGCCTGGAGGGAACCTAAAGGGTGCACTCCTTGATTTGGACAAACCAGCAGCATTCCAAGCCCAGTTCCTAGCAATGAGAAGTCAATGAACTGATGGGTTCTTCCAGGGATGGGATGAATTCACTGGCCTTTCTGTTTTGAATTGAGCATGAATGTGCATTCTTTTCTCTTTCTCTGGCAAAATGAACCAACTGGAGTAGATTTTTTAAAACACATATATAAAACATACAGAAGTTCTAAACATATATAAAGTAATATGTTTATGAAATGATTTAAACAGTATATACAGTGAAGACTAAAAGTCTTAAGCAAAACAATAATTCTAAATTTTAGGATCACAAATCTGTACCTGTCTATATATTCTTGTATAAATACATAATATAGGATTTGGAGAACAATACTCCAATGCTGGTAACTAAATTTTTGGAGAGAAGAATGAATTTGGATGAAGGAGAATTTTCACTGTTTATATACTTATAAACCTCTAATAAGAATATATTAATATATTACTTACACAATGTTTATTGAATATTCTAACAGCTTTACTGAAGAATAATTCACATACAGTAAACTGCACATATTTAAAAAGTATAATCTGATAATTTATATAACATCTATAGTCACCACCACCACAGTCAAGATAGTTCATGTGTTTGTCACCTGAGCTTTTCCTTGTGCCCCTTTGTAATTACTCTCTTCTCTCTCTGACCTTCCACCTTTCCCAGGCGATCACTCTGGTGTGTTTTCTGTCACTGGAGATTACTTAACATGTGCTAGAATATCATATAACTGGAATATTTTTTCTGACTTATTTTACTCAGCATATTTTAAGGTTTATCCATGTATAATTATTTTGAGATTTATCCATTTTATAGCTCTATCAATAGCACATTTTTTTTCCTGTTATTTTTAAAGGCTATTGCAGAGAGGAAGAAAGAGAAAGCTAGATAATACGTACACCTGAAACAAACTGAAATGTTGCAATTCATTTAAAAATGTTATCTAAAAATTTTAAATATATTAAAAAGATAGTGTTACCTTACCTCATAGTTGCATTTCCGACAGCAACCACATATAAGTTTATGTAAACTTCTAAAAACATGACTAGATATTTTTTAAAAATTATAAAAGCAATATATTCTCATAGAAAGGTGTTCAAGAAAATACAGCAAGTATAAAAAAGAGCGATTTTTCACAAACGCGCAGCTGAGGACAGCGCTCTTCGCCTCTGGACTCACTGCGCATGCTCATATACCAACACCCAGCCCAGTTCCCCCTCCCAGTCCTCACGGTCCTTCCTGCAGAGGCAGCACTCGGTCGCCAGGTGGTGATGCGGAGCTGGGTATCCAACCTCTGTGAGAAGCGAGCGGTGGCCGCGCTCGGGAACATGTGACCTGGGCCACGGCGCGGGCTCCTGGAACACGTGATGGGGCCCGGAAGCGGCCACCCGGCGGCTAGGGGGATGGCGAGGGCTCGGCGCTGAGGCGGGGCCCGGGGGGCTGTGCTGAAGCGGGAGCCGGAGCCGGAGCCGGAGCTGGAACCCGAGCGGTGAGTCCGCTCGCTGACGGGCTGGGGCTGGTAGCTTGACACCCCTTCGGCAGGACCCACCTCTCCCTCCCCCGGGGCGCCGCGGATGCTCGGGGCCGGGCAGCCACCTGCCCGGGCTGCGGGTCCGAGTCTCCTGAGCAGCCCCAGGCAGGCCCCCCTCCCCCCGGGATGAGGCGGACGGGAGAGCCCTTTGTCGCCCGTGCTGTCTCCCTTGACCTCCCGTCCTTCTTACAGAAGGGAGAGCTGAGGTCCTGAGATGGGAAGGTTCAGCAAGCGACCAGCCGGGTCTCCTCCCCGGCTTCCAGAGGGGTCCGGGCGTCCGAGTTAAGTCGCCGGCTCTGGGCGGGAGCCTTGCTCGGGACTTGCTGATAGTGGGTCTTTGGCTCATAGAATACCTGCACTGCAAGGACCCGAGAAATCGTCTGGGGCATTCTAGGACACCTGGGGAATTGGAGGGCCAGGAGGAGTCGGGGGCTGCCTAAGGTCACCCAGTGGGTTAGTCCTACCACCCGACCTGCGACTGGAATCCACGTCTCCTTAAGCGACAGTTTCCCTTTCATTACACTGCCTCCTGCAGAAAACGTGACATGTGAAGAGGCGCCCGTTTCCCGTCCGCTTTTATTCCTTTTCCTTCTTAGCTCTACATCCTCCATCGCTGGGATTGGATTGGCCCTGGGTGTGGCTCCCTGTTTCACTGTACACGATTTTTCTGCTAACTCATTATTCTGTAGGTTTTGTTTCTAACCGTCCTGCAATTTTGTTTAAGTCATATCAAAATATGAAATAAGATTCAGTGTATGCTCCTGTGAGGACAGGTGGCTCCCAGCTGTGGTCGTGGAGAGCCTTGGCATTAACTCGAAGGATGTAAAGACCTTTGCTTTATTTTTTCCGTAACTTGTCAGATTTGGGGAATACCAGTTATTTGGATGCATTTATTTGAGGCTTGATGACATAAGATAGCAGTTGGGTGTAATGCAAAGAATCGGGGAATTAGATTTTGTTCTGACACTTGATTTGCAACCTTGGGTGAGTCACATCCTCGCTTGGGTTTAGGTTTCCCAGCCTTAGAATGATGGAGTTGAGTCCCTGAGGGCCTCCTCTGCTCAGACATTCTCTGCATCCAGGTCTGTTTCTTTTCTAATCAGGGAGGTTTTTTCCCTTGTGTACATTAGTATCTGCCTTGTAACAAGGCTTAATCCAGTTGTTCAGGAGGCAGTTTCCCTACTTATTTCTACATTGCCATGAAATTCTCTTCTTTCTTCCTGTCTCTGTATTATGTCCAAGGCAAATGCTGACAGTTGAAAATGGTTTTGACTGAATTTTATTACTTTAAACATGATCAGACTCTCTTTGACTCTTGTCAAGAACCTAGTCTACAGTAATTAATTTGTACATTTAGGGCATGTTTTCTTTAAAGCTGTTCTTGCAGTCAAGAAGCACAGGGGACACAAAAGGCCTGGTCATATGCTCTTAGTTTGAGACCTTCTGGAATGGAGGATATTTAGCAGAGACTGCTCTGATGATGATTTTAAGCCCCTCTCCCTTTGTTTTCTGTTTGTGCCATTTTTCACAAACAGATAAGGACTGTTGAGTCCTTATTTTTCCTTTAAAATCATGGAGCTGTTGAGTCAGCCTCGTCCCTGTGGCAGCTTGAAGGACTCAGAGCTGTGTTTGTCTATTTTAAAGGCAGTGCAAGGAGTTGGATTACACATTTCTTTTGTAATATTCCAGAGACTACAATAAGGGCCAATGGATGGAAGTGTCAAAAGGGAAGTGGTTTTGGGGTGAGCCTAAGAACTTTCAAAGAACTAGCACTCTCTCATGTTGCAACCCAGAACATGGAGGTCCCTGTCACTGGAGGTAATTGTTGCTTGGCAATTACTTTTGGAAATATTGTACACTAGATTATTGTGTTGGGTGGAGGGTTGGACTAGATAAAGTCTAAAATTTTCTTTTAACTCAGGGGTTTTGTGAACTTCAGGACTTGACTTGTTAGCAGGTGGGCTATGAAGTAGAGTAGTTGTAGTAGATGTCCACTTTTGTGAGTGCTTTATTTTACCCCTTGCCTCGGGTAACTCTTATCATGTTAAGTACTCCTGCATTTTCTTTCTTTTTATCCTTCCTCCCCTCCTTAGGGAGTGTCTCAGTTCTTTAAATGCTTCCAGGGTCAGATGCTGAAGAATTACTGCTGTTAAATGATACATTTCTTCTTCCCACCCTGACCTGAATCAAGGTCTTACACCTGGGTTGACTGAGTGGACTTTGTTTTCTGCTTTAGCCAGCCTGGCCCTGATAACCCCTTCCAGAAGTATAACTGGCTAACCTTTAACACCGAGCTTCCTGAATTGTTGTGGCAGTTCCTAACTATCCTGAACTTCCCTCCTTTAACCAGGCTTTTCTGGGTCTGAACACACAAAGCCATCTCTGTGTAATGAAATGGGAGTGAGGTCCAGGGGATGGGACGTTCTAATATGACAAAATAGAAACTTAATCATGCTCTTCTTTTATCTCCCCAAGTTTTTCTCGGAAGCCTTGACACCCGGGCCAGTTCTCAGTGCCCCATGCTACTAGGAAAGACAGCTCTGGCATCTGGGTTACTGGGATGCACATGGCATGTAGATTGCCATTTTCAAGGTGGGGACTTCGCTTAGCTCTCTGGAATGATGGAAGAGGAAGTCTTGCAGAGTTTTATTTGTATAGTGAACTTGCTGACTTCTTGTTCTTGAAATTCCCTATGGTAATAATCACAATTGCCACCGCTAATGAGGGTCCACTGTGGACCAGGCTACACATCTATCTTTTCCTTCTATCTTCATAATAATAATGTGATTGTTAATGATATTTTTCAGATGAGGAAACTGAGGCAAAGGGAGACTCAGTAACTCAGGGGCCACATAACGGGGACTCTGAACTCTTGTGCTTTTTATTATGCAGAATTTCCCCTGTAGACCTAATCCTTTCTCAGTTTCTTTCAGAGGGAGATTGTAGTGGGAGAGTAGATGATTAATGGTGTGATAGAAAGAACACTGGACTGGGAATCTGTATGCTGTTTTCCAATTCCAAGTCTTTACCCATCTGGGGCCTTGATTTTCCTACCTCTAAATTGGAAGCTGGAGCTTGATCTTCTTTAAGTCACACCTTGTCCTAACATCTAGTGAATTTTTATGATTTGGTGTGAAAAGTAAACGTGTTTGCCTCTTCAGCCCCTCCTGTCCAGAGTTTTCTGAAGTCAGCAACTGTTTTGTAGCTGTTTTATAGGAGTCTCGAGTTATTGCATGTATTTCTGTGATAGGTTAGATGGAGTTTTATCTGATGCTCTTTAAAAACAAATCATGTGGAAGTCATAAATTTTCACTTCCCTCCCTGTGGACTACATATAGCAACACAGTTGTGTCCTTACTTGTTCATGTCTTTGGAATTCTAGTAACAGAAGAGAAAAAATGCATCTAGAGAATTTGCTGCTTTCTGGGTTCCAGAGTCCAACCTAATGTAATTATTTCAGAATAATGGGTGGTACTTTTAGTCTACAGATATTGCCAATTCATAAACTCTGGTAGGAGGTGAGGCCTGGGGCGTACCCATCATAATAAGATAATATATTTTAATAGTGCTTTATATAAAGCTGCCTGTAACCATCACTTAGAAAGCTTGTTAAAAATATTATGCTCAGGTTGAATCAGACTGGGCCCAGAAGTCTGTTAGGTGTTTTTTTTGTTAGCAGTTTTATTGAGAAATAATTCATATAGCATATATTTCAGTCATTTAAAGGGTACAATTCAATGCTTTTAGTATATTCACAGAGTTGTGCAACCATCACCACAATCAATTTTAGAACATTTTCATCATCCCAAATGAAACTCTTGGCCTTTACCACTGATCCCTCCCAACTCCCTAGTCAAAACCCTAGGCAACTACTAATCTACTTTCTATAGGTTTCCCTATTGTGGACTTACGTATAAACAAAATCATACAATATATAGAACTCTGTGACTGGCTTTTTTCACTTAGAATAGTATTTCAAGGTTCACCCATGTTGGAGCATATATCAGTATTTCGTATCTTTTTATCCATTGTATGGCTTTTCCACATTTTATTTATCCATTCATCAGGTTTATTTCCACTTTTTGGCTATTAAGAATAATGCTGTTATGAACATTTGTGTGCAAGTTTTTCTGTGAACTTAAGTTTCATTTCAGTATATACCTAGGAGTGGAATTGCTAGGTCCTATGGTAACTATGTTTAGCCCTTTGAGGAACTGCCAGACTGTTTTCTAAAGTGGTGGCACCATTTTACACTCCTGAAAGTAGTGTAAGTGGATTCAAATTTCTCCACCTTCTCATTAACATGTATCATTCTGTCTTTGATTCTAGCCTCTTGGTTGGTGTGAAGTGGTTATCTTAACTGCTTTTTTTTTTGAGAGGGCATCTCTCATATTTACTGATCAAATGGTTGTTAACAACAATAAAATTCTGTATAGGGGACTCAATGCACAATCATTAATCAACCCCAAGCCTAATTCTCAACAGTCTCCAATCTTCTGAAGCATAATGAACAAGTGTTTACATGGTAAACAAATTCTTACATAGTGAATAAGTTCTTACATGGTGAACAGTGCAAGGGCAGTCATATCACAGAAACTTTCAGTTTTGATCACACATTATGAACTATAAACAATCAGGTCAAATATGAATATTCGTTTGATTTTAATACTTGATTTATATGTGAATCCCACATTTCTCCCTTATTATTATTTTTAATAAAATGCTGGAGTGGTAGGTAGATACAAGATAAAGGTAGAGAACATAGTTTAGTGCTGTAAGAGGGCAAATGTAGATGATCAGGTGTGTGCCTATAGACTAAGTATTAATCCAAGCTAGACAAGGGCAACAAAACATCCACGGATGCAGAAGATTTCTCTCAAAACAGAAAGGGTGAGGTTCTAAGCCTCACCTCTGTTGATCCCCAATTTCTCACCTGATGGCCCCCCTGCGACTGTGCC